AAATAATGCCCTTATTCAACTTTGGTAACTGTTTTTTTACAATTATTTAATAACAATTTTTTTTTTTTTTTTGATAAAATTGTTATAAGGCCTTCAACTATTAACAGCATGTGATTGTTATGCCCAAAATGTTAATTTTATCGGGAATTTTATTCCTAAAATATTGAATGAATTGATCGTTAGATTTTGTGGAAAAATTTAAAATATAATGGGGAACGGATAAGATAAAAGTACCAGTACCTGGACAAAGCAAAAATTGGAACCAGTACATGGACAGTAGCAAAAAGAAATTAAAATAGCCCTCAAATTAAGGAAAAAAAAATTGAGATACTCTTTAGATAATTAGCTTTTAGGCAAAATAAAATTTTTTAATTGTAGGAGTAAAAAAAATATATAAAACAATTTCTCGAAAATCGCTGTCAAATTCTGTCTGAATTGACTGTCCAAGTTAACCTACCGCTTTATATATTGTACCCAATAGTTGGACAAAGATTTAATTCAATTAACTCAATCATTTTAATTAATTTAATTAATATAATCAGTTTAATTATATTTTAGTTCAATTATTTAATTTATTAAATAATCAAAATAACTAAATAAATGAATTATTATTTAATTTACTTATTTAATGTCCAACTACTACGGCTTTCGAAATACCATGTCCAACTTCTGCTGCAAATGTGCAATTTCATTATTTCATGATTTTAATTTAATTAAAACATCTAATATTATTAATTTTGTCTAATTAATATTTTTTAAAGGTAAATAAAACGAAAATACAAACATTTTATCAATTATATTGAATTATCTTAATACAAAACACAAATAATTTTGAGACCCCCCTTCAATAGCGTCCAGGTACTGGTGCTTTTACCTTACTGTGTGCGAAAATTGAAATATTTTGTTGAATTAATTATTCTCCCACAGCACCGAAACTTTCCTGAAAATTTAGTAAATATTTACTTGCAATATTTGGAATATTTAATTGCAATGTTTATTGAAAGTTATGTAAAGATTTAAATGTCCCACTTGAATGAATGTTTAGTGCAAAACTTTCCTGAACATTTAAGGGTATGTGGGAATCTCCCACATAACCTAGTATGGGAAAATGTGTTTCGGAGATTCCTTGTACCAAACAAAATCATTTCTCCAAAATTTTAACCCGAAATCATTATTTATTTCAAAGAAAGTTTCAAACCACAAAAAAACCTCCTTTGCCCACATACCTTTAAATGAAATTTTCAAATTTTCACATTTTACATTACTTTCACATTAAACATTTATTTAATCGGGACATTTAAATCTTTACACAGTTTTCACTAAACTTTGCAATTAAATATTCCAAATATTGCAAGTAAGTATTTACTAAACTTTCAGGAAAGTTTCGATGCTGTGGGGGTTATTATTATATAATTATTATAAAATACTTAACAGTAACGCGTCATACCTAACCTAATATTTTCTAAAAATTTCCAAATATATAATACATTTGGAAATTTTTTAAAAAATTTGAGGTTAGGTACTGACGTTATTATTAAGTATTTCATGATAACTAATTTATAATTTTGGAGTAATTAATTCAGTCTTGCTATACAATATTAAAATGCTAATTTGTCAAAATTCAAAATTAATATTTCCTTGTTATTACATATTCTAATAAGATAAAGTTATTCTTTTATATGAAAATTTTGTAATAGAAAATTTTTTAATAGTCCTATCATGTGTTTTCTAATATTTTTTCGCGCGACGATAAAAAATTATAAAAAAAATTATTTAAAAAACATAACCTAAAAAATTTAGTTTAACTTCCTTTTCCTTTTTTGCGGAGAAACGAATTTATGACTCATCTTTGGTTTTATTAATTATTGATTTAATTTTCAATTAATTACAACACTTTTTAAATTATTAAATAAAAAACTTTTACCATAAAAGTCAACATATGGATAAATTTTTCTTGATATTAAAAAGAAAACACGAGACGATACGATTGCTCTGGCAGTCAGTGTTCGGCACATAAAATACCTCAGGTTGGTTTAGTTGGTTTCCATTGTCCCCACTCGCCATTTGTCATAATTTTCGTCAACTACCGCACCCTGCTCTAGTGAAAAATTTAGTGACTTTATTGTTAAAATTAAAAGTCACAAAATTTTTCACTAGAGCAGGGTGCGGTAGTTGACGAGAATTATGACAAATGGCATATGATGTCTTAAATTTTCCTTAACTTTTGTGTTTTAAGAGACATTTTGGTGTAAAATAAGTATGTAAATTTTGAATTAATTTTTTTTCAATATTTTTAGAGATATTTGCATTAAAAAATTATATGTAACATTTTTTTATATTTTTCTTATATCTTTTGTTTTTTTGATCCTACAAAAAGAAGATCTAAATGTTTTTTACTCGAAAACCCGCACCGCGTGTGATCGGCGCGCCAGCACGCTATACCCATGCATTTCAATATTTAAAGATTTTTATCTCGGAAACAAAATAATATAACGCCAAGCTGAAAAATTTCAGGAAATCTTCATTACATCATCAACTTCATTCATGATTTTTTTTTTGGGTTGAGAAACACGGAGAACATGTTTAAAACGTATAGTTTTATTTTATTTTTTAAATATGTAAATTAATTAAAATTTAATAATTTTTTTCATAAATTTCAACATTTTTAGAGTAAAAAACATTCAGAATTTTTTTTGTAGGATCAAAAGAAAAAAATGTTAGAATAATTTTTTAATGCAAATATTTCTAAAAATATTTTAAAAAATTTAATTCAAAATTTACATACTTATTTAACACCAAAATGTCTCTCAAAACACCAAAGTTAAGGAAAATCTGAGGACTCACATGATTAAACCCAAAATTTTATTTGACGTAAAATTAATTTGATATAAATCTTATATGACATAAATTTCATTTGACATAAATTGTATTTGACATAAATTTCATTTGATATAAAAGTCATTTGACATAAAACTTAATTGACATAAACATAATTTGACGTAAGACTCACTTCATATAATTTTAAATTAACATAATGTGAAATGAATTTTATATCAAATGAGATTTATATCAAATGAATTTTATGTCAAGTGAAATTAATATCAATCAAAATTTATATTAAATGGAATTTATGTTATATGAATTTTATTTTAAATAAGAATTATGTCAAATAAAATTTATGACAAGTGACTATTATGTCAAATAAATTTTATGTCAATGTATAATTATGTGAAGTGAGTTTTATTTTTTTGGTTAAATGGCCTCTTGCAAAGCAGGTAGCCAAACACTAAGTGAGTTTTATGTCAAATAATATTTATGTAAAATGGAATTCCAAAATCCCTACGCGCCATTTGTCATAATTCTCGTCAACTACCGCACCCTGCTCTGGTGAAAATTTAGTAACTTTTAATTTTAACAATAAAGTCACTAAATTTTCACTAGAGCAGGGTGCGGTAATTAACGTGCATTATGACAAATGGCGAATGGGGACAATGAAAACCAACTTCATGTCAATGAAAAAAAAAGTTGTAGAAGCAGCTTAAGGCCAGGTCCACGTGAGGCAGCGCCATCTACATTGAAACTAAAATTTTGGAAAATTTTCAACAGCCTTTTTTTGAAAACAAAATGGTAAAATGCTTTTTCCTTTATGGATAATTGATTATTGGCAATATATACACCAGCTAAAAGTTTTTTTGAGTTAAAATAATAAAAAAACTTTCATGTCAATAAATTAAATATGAGCACTTTTTTCACAAAAACTGTAACAGTACTTTCTCAGAAATTACAATCAAAAATGCAATTTCCATTTGGAAAATTAATAAACGCTAAAAAATACACGACCTAAGATTTACCAATCACGAAAATAACAAAAAGGAGGAGATTGGTGCTGTTGCTAACCACCTGAAATACATAATCTACCAAAGGGCTGTCACAATCTGTAATGCAGTATCAATATGTTAAATATTTAATAAAATTTTTTTGTTATTTTCGTGATTGGTAAATCTTAGGTCGTGTATTTTTTAGCGTTTATTAATTTTCCAAATGGAAATTGCATTTTTGATTGTAATTTCTGAGAAAGTACTGTTACAGTTTTTGTGAAAAAAGTGCTCATATTTAATTTATTGACATGAAAGTTTTTTTATTATTTTAACTCAAAAAAAGTTTTAGCTGGTGTATATCTTGCCAATAATCAATTATCCATAAAGGAAAAAGCATTTTACCATCTTGTTTTCAAGAAAAGGCTGTTGAAAATTTTCCAAAATTTTAGTATCAATGTAGATGGCGCTGCCTCACTTGGACCTGGCCTTAAATCAAGTTGTGTTATTGTTAGTTACGTATAGGGGTGTTCCACGAAAGAAAGCACATTGATGAAAGTACAATTAAAAATTTTTTTTTATTTGTATAAGTGTTCAGGGTCCTAACTAACTATGTTAAGGTGCCTTTCATTAATTATGTAAGGGTCCTTAGGGGAAGGGGGTGTTTATAAAATCTCTACATCGTCATATGTCAGGGGGGGGGTAGAAGCTATTCTTATACGTAAGATTTTGCCAAGTACTTTCCATTTGTATTGTTGTAATTAATTTTTTTAATTATATTAAGATTTTTAAAAACTTTTTTTTTTTTTTTTTAATTTTTTTGTTAAGGGACTAGTTTTAAAAATTGAGACTGATATTGTTTATCACAGCAAACTTTTTCGTTGTCATAGCAAAAAATTTAGCTGTGGTTACTAATTTTGTTAGATCCGATAGCAAACATTAATTAGCGTCTGTAAGCTATTTCTTTTTTTCCGTCTATATCTATTTGAAAATTAAGAAAAGAGAATTTCTTCTAATATCAATATCATTGATGAAAAATTCATTCATAAGTTCATAATATAAAATTATGGGTGGAAGGCGCATAGTGCCGTCATCAAGAAGGCGAAGAAGTGGGTCAGAGAGAACTCTGCAAGAGAGACATGAAGAGTTGCCGGTAGACTATACCGTCAGTCTTGTGAAGATATTCCGGGAGTCAACAGGTGCAACGTTTTTTTTTTTTTTTTAAATCAAAGTGTGACGATTGAGTTATCGTCGGGAATCAGCCAAAACAAAGATCCCATTCGCGTAATAGAAATTAGGTGCCAGTCATGGTACCTTAGAAGTTTCAAAAAAAATTTTTTTTTTCAATATTAAAATTTAGTTTCATTCTAAAGTCAATTTGAGTTCGTTGCTGTTTTTTGGTGAATTTTTTGTACTAAAAGAGAGAGAGAGAGAGAGAGAGAGAGAGAGAGAGAAAATAAATCTTCCACTCGCAAAGGGTTGTTTCTTTACCAAAATGACAAACAAATTTGAGGTATATGGAAATTATCGTTTTTTTTTTAAATTTAATTTAATTAACATTGTTACTAATATTAGTATTTATTTACATATAATTAAGATTTTAATTATTAACATAATTAGTATTTCCGTATCCGCGTTGGTTGAGGTCGTTTAGGCGTTTAGAAATTCGTGTTCAATTTTGAGTCGTGCGTTCGAATCCCCCGAATATTATTTTTTTTTTAATTACTTTTTTTCAATGAATTTTATTTACTTAAAATATATATATAAATTTTTTTTATAACTTATTTTAAAATAATTTAATTTTAATAATTTAAAATAATTTAATTTTAATAATTTAAAATAATTTATAACTTATTTTTAGCAATATTTTTCTTATTTTTTTTATCTTTATTTTGATAACTACTTTGTTATCTTATTTGTTGTTTTTAATCAATACTGCTATAACCTCATTTTACTCTAGTGAAAAATGGTTAACATTTTTTTTTCTTTTTTTTTTTGCCAATCAAAAATCATTTGTTGTTAAATAAAAGAACTAGATTAACTTTAATTATGGGATACAATTAAATGCTTTCCGATTTTTTGGAGCGTAAACATCATATGTGACATAGATTGGGGGCATATGTTCTATTCTATGTGACGACCGGAAATTTCCGGGGGAGTAATTTTGCGTAATTCAATGTACGATGCGTGTCCAACAAGATGACTCCGGTGTCATCAAAAATTACAATGTCATTAGGATACGCTTCTTTAGTTATAACAATTTCTCATCATAAAATGTGTCCACTGTAGAGTATCTCTGTCAATATTATTATTTTTTAAAAAATTTTTATTAATAGCTATTTTTAATTCAATGAAGAAATATAGACAAGAAGTTGCAGCTTTCACTGAATTAAATGACTTATATATATACTTGTATGTTTATGAATGTGTGTATGATTATAAAAAAAAATCGGGGGGAAAATGAATTAAATTGCTATAATAATAAAAATTTATATTATGTGAAGATCCACCTTTATCGTATGATTATATACTTTCCATGTCATCGCTTTTGAGAAAGCATGTCGTTCCATTTCACTTGCTAATTATAACGCGTGAAATAAATTCAGTAATGTTTTGTTGAATACGGAAGAAATTTTACTCATAACTATTTTTTTTTTCTTATAAATCGAAATTCATCTATAAAATTGTCGATTTATTTTTTATGACTGTAATAATAATAACAATAATAATAATCATAATAATGATGATAATAATAGTAATAGCATTGTCCTTTATTTCGCATTTATACAATTTTACAATATAGAGTTTTCTTTACGCATTCAATGTTTGATTTATTTTCATGTGATTGGATATAAATAAAAAAAAAATTTATTTGAATTAAAAAAAAAATTTCTTTGAAATAACCAAAAAATTTGTTTTAGGTTGGTTTCCATTGTCCCCACTCGCCTTTTTTAATAATTCTCGTCAACTACCCTACCTTGCTCTAGTGAAAATTTAGTGACTTTATTGTTAAAATTAAAAGTTACTATATTAAAAGTTAAAGTTACAAAAGTTACTAAATCTTTACTAGAGCAGGGTGCGCTAGTTAAGGAGAATTATGACAAATGACGAGTGGGGACAATGGAAACCAACCTTTACTACAAAAAAAAAAAAAAAAATGGTATATTTGGTTCAAACAAAAACTTTTCTCCGAGTATTAATAGTTGTTGGTTTTGTTTTGGGTTTTTGACTTTGAATTAGTTAAAAATAACTAATTCGATAGCAAAAAGTGAGTTACTGATTCTAGTACAGTAATATTTCTACTAATCGTTTAGTTAAAAATAACTAAATATTAAATTCCCTTTTAAGTTATGTTAAAATAAATAAAATTTCTGGTAACTAATTCAATTAGTCAAGATTGATTATTTTTTTCAGTTATTTTTCCACTGAAATTTTAGTTACTTTTTACTAATATTTAGTTAATTTCTACTAATTACTGAAGCAAACAGTTAGACAAGATTTGACTGACAATTATGTATTTTTAATTCAGATTCTGAGGAAAAGAAAAAGTATTTTGAAGAATTTAGATTTAAAATTTGTAAAAACAAGAACAGAATTTTTTTTACAAATTGGTGTTTTAATTAATTAATTTCTTTTTTGCTTTTGATGCTTTATTGGATTCGGTATTTAAAATAACAATATGAAGTAAATCAATTGAATATACATGACATGTATTTTTGAAGGATTGTGATTTGAGTGAAGTCAACTGTGAAATACATTACGGACATCCGATTAATTTAATTGTTGCTTGGATAACATAGAAAGTCACAATACATATATATATATGTATATATGTTAAGTGAAGTTGTGGCTGCCTCACTATTTTCTCAATTTCAATATACAGGCATATATTGAAATTGGGAAAATGGTGAGGCGTAAAAAAAACATAAAAAGAATTCTAATAATTTCTAATAAGCGATTAAATTTCTCTTGCGCCACTGTTCCGAGTCTATAACTGACTATACTAGATGACTAATCACTGATTATTATTTACTCTTTCTCTCATATACATATATATGTTGTGTATGCAATTCATCCATCCGTAAACGTTCCTCAATTTCTACCGCAAATATGTATGCGCTTGTTCGAATATATGATATTAATTGAGCGCGAAAAGAATTGCAAAATTTTTAAATTCAAAATTTTTGAGAAATTAAATTTTTTTATGTATCGTTATTTGATCAGAAACTAAAAATAATAATTTTCTAAATAAATAATAATTATTATTATTATTTATATATGAAGTTAGTGACCGTTATAATTTATTAATAAGATTTATTATTATTATTAAAAATATTTTTTCTTATTGAGTGTCATTTTCTTTTTTAACGGTTTTAGACTCAGAAATATATGTGGAATACCACTTGTCATTTATCATAATTCTCGTCAACTACCGCACTCTGCTCTAGTGAAAATTTAGTAAGTTTATTATTAAAATTGAAAGCTACTATTAAGTTACTAAATTTTCACTAAAGCAGGGTGCAGTAGCTGATGAGAAGTATGACAAATGGCAAGTGGGGATTTTGGAGAGTGGGGACAATGGAAACCAATCGGAATAGTGGAATACGTGAAATAATTTTTTTGGTTGACATTTGGCAATGGATGCGCGCGCATCATCTCGTCTTAAAAATTCGTCTGCAAGACAATGCAATTTAGCTATTGTGGAAGTAGCCTAAAACGACGAATTTCCATTTGTCTAAAATTACAAATGTTCGACAGCAAAATGACAGATAGATTTTGGCGTGAATTTTAAAATTAACCAATCACAATTTTCTTGATAATTTCTGATTAGTAAATTTTAAAAAATTGCGCCAAAATTTTTCTATCAATTATTTTTCGGACATTTGCCATTTTCGGACAAATGGATAATCGGCGTTTTAAGAATTCTATCAAATGACAATTATTGTAATTAAAAATTGGAACGAATGATTGGAAATTTTGGCATTTAAAAATTCGTATGACTTAAAATTCTGTTAAATTTGAAATTGTAATATTTTAGTCTCTTAGTGTAGTTAAAGTTTTTTTTAAATTGATATCGTTAAGAAATTATTTTTTGTCTGTCGAATGAAGTAGAAAATCAAGAATTTTCAATTAAGAGTCTCACTTTTGTTATTTGAAAAATGTTTGTCAGAATAATTTAATTTTTATATTGTTTTTAATTGAATATTTATAATCTTTTTTGAAAATATGATAGCTATATATATATATACTTTCGAATAACCTCTGGATGCTTTAATCGAGACCAACTTGAGAAAATCATTCCTGCTTGGGAGAAACTTAATATAAGTTTAACAACTTTAATACTCAATTATTATATATGAGTTAAAAGAAACGTTCTACATTTAAATAAAATGAAAGTCGTCATACTTTTAACTTCAATATTATTAACATGTGATATGGTTCATTGAAAATTTAATTTTATTCTTCTTCAATTTATTTCTTTGTTTAACTCGGAGAATAATTAACAAAGAGTCTGGAATTTTTCTTTTTTCAAACGATGCACGAAAAAATAATTTTTTAGGTTAAGAATCATGTCAAAATCTTATTGACAATAAATATAAAATAATCAGTGGAACATCCCAATTGTGACACTTTGCAAGGAATGGTAGTTTTTTTTCTATACAGGGCGGGGAACTAGACTAGATTAGAGCAGGGTGAGGCAAGTGTCAAAAATATATAGATATGTCATATTTCGGACGTTCTACCAGAAATTCCAAAGGAAATTTACATGTGTCCATATTCTAAACTAACCCTTAAGTTTAAATCAAACATATTGTAATTTTCATTTAAACAAATAATATTTTTAATTGAAAGTGACAAATATTTTCCATATATTAAAATAAAACTTACAAATTATGTGAAATTAAACAAAATCGTTTAATCTAATCTGATTATGTTAAAATAACCAAAATTTCTGGTAATTAATTTAATTAGTTGTCTATATTTTTTACAGTTATTTTTCTACTGAAAATTAGTTATTTTTTACTAACTGACGAAATAAAAAGTCAGCCAAAGAATTAATTAAAAATTAGTTTAGATTTAATTTAATCTAATGTAATCTAATTCAATCTAATTCAGATTTAGAGAGTGAAAATAGTAAAATAGAAAATATCATAATAGTACATAATAGAAATAAATTAAACGCATTTAATTTCTCCTTTTGTATATAAAATATATAATATATATAGATGCAAGTATTATTACATTAAATTAATAAAAAGTAAATATCTATTATCTTTTTATTGAACGAAGTCAAAAATAGATGGAAAATTATGTGTGTGTGTGAAAATTTTTTTCGCGTACATATACATATATGTATATAGAAAAACATATAGCAAGGCCGACTTTCGAAAATCATTTTAAAATACATTTCACGTGCTAGAGAGTAATTTTTAAATCTTACCAGCACGACAAATGCAATGCTTATTCAGGAATTTTTGTGTGCACGCACACATAAACTATTTTATGTATATG